AGTTCGGAGTGAAGTAATAGTAAGCCCAAGGTTCCCTTGGAATACGACCGAGCCACTTTACTACATCCCTAACTTAGTTATACCTGGCTTTGTTAGGATTGACGAAAGTGCGCTTTGACTTTAGAAATATAAAGCTCGATCAAGACGTGATCATTTTCATAGATTTATTTCATGTTGTATTTGGTATAATTAAATTCATTTCACTATTCACATAATTTTTGTCATAAAAGAAGAGGGTGTCATGGTCAAAAACTTAAATTCAAATTTACCATAGGCTAGTAAAAATTGGAAAGAATTTTATGTTTTGTTTCATTTTTTTATAATCGTAATTTTTATTCTTTAGCTTTTTACATTACCAAAAACATGTCACTTCCAATCCAAAAAAAAGGTCCTCTTAAGCGCATGGTCCTAAAGATTCAATCTCAAAGCGGTACTAAAGATTAGGCAGAAGCAGAACGAGAACTAGAATTCTTCGCCCCTCCCCTTGTACCAAGAAGCAAGTTCAGAACAGAAGGATAAGGGGCTCGTCTATTATAAGTTATTAGTTGACGGGGCTATCTCAGATATCTCGAGTAAGGAAACGGGCTTGATGGGGAAATAGAATATATTTCATAGGAAGACGTGCGCCAATCCACTTCTTTTCGAACGGTGAAGAAGGATAATCGAATAAGTTTGATTATCGTAATTTTATAGCTTTTTGCATATAAAGAAGTCCTTGGTGAACCTAAGCTCTAGCATCAATGTCAAGCCACACAAGTTGTTTAGAAAGCGGAGGTGCATGAGCTAGAACCACCCATAGAGCCAATTCCCAAGTCTGGAGGGATCACCACCTCCTTGGAAGAACCTCCAAAGCTTGAGCTCAAGCCCCTCCCTAGTCACCTCGAGTATGCATTCTTGAGGGAGGCTGACAAACTTTCAGTGGTTATTAGCTCGGACCTCTCACCTAATCAGAAGAAGAGACAAGTGCACCTACAAAGGTGGCATGAGAAGGAAATCGCGTGAAAAATCAGTGACATCAAGGGGATTAAACTCTCCTTCTTCTCTCACAAGATTCTTATGGATGATGATTTCAAGTCGGGAGTGCAACCTCAACAGCGATTAAATCCTCATATGAAGAAGGTGGTAAAGGCGGAGGGGATCAAGCTTCTAGAGGCCGGTATCATCTATCCTATATGGAATAGTGAGTGGGTTTGCCCAAATCCCTAAGAAGGGTGGCATGACGGTGGTATCCAATGATAAGAATGAGCTCATACTGACAATGACGGTGACAAGATGGAGAGTTTGCACTCGACTACCACTGGTTGAATGATGCCATTAGGAAAGATCACTTCCCACTCTCGTTCATTGATCAGATGTTGAAGAGACTAGCCATACATGATTACTATTGCTTCTTGGATGGAATATCCGGATACTTCCATATCTCGATCGCTCCGGGAGACCAGGCAAAGACCACTTTCACTTGCCCCTTTGGCACATTCACCTACAAGCGGATCCGTTTTGGTCTTTGCAACTCACCAACCACATTCTAGAGATGCATGGTGGCAATATTAGTCAAGCTCCTGGGTGACATCATGGAGGTTTTTATGGATGAATTCTCCATCTTTGGCAATTCCTTCACCCAATGTCTCCACAATCTTGATAGGGTGTTATGAAGGTGTAAAGTGACAATTTTGGCGTTTAGTTGAGAGAAAAGCTACTTCGTGGTACGATAAGGCATTGTGCTCGGACACAAGATTTTGAAGAAAGTGATTGAAGTGGACCGAGCAAAGATCGAGACTATAAGAAAGTTACCCTCTCCTCCTTTCCGCCAAGGGCATCTGGAGCTTCCTCGGGCATGCATATTTCTCTCACCTTTTTATCAAGGTTATTGTTAGAAACAAAGTTTCTAACGGGTTTCTAGATCAGATCTAGAGATTGAGAATTTAGGGTTTATAGAACAGAATTGGGGATTTACGGATTTGAGAAGAGAATTTGGGGAAGAACAGAGATAGAATGGCCGAAGCCTTTAGAGAGAAAGATAGACGAGATTGAGAGAAGATTAGGGATTTGGGGAAATGACTTTTCTTATTAATTTCTGCTTAATCTGATGAATGACCCAAAGTACATATATATAGGGAAATACTAGAAAACCCTAAGAATAAACCTAATTCTACTAGAAGACTACTAACCATATTTAATAAAACCTAATAATAATGATAATGATATAGAAACCCGTTTTCCTTAGAAAATGTGTTTTTAACATCCGATCCCCCTTGAAATCAACCTTGCCCTCAAGGTTGATCAACTCAACCCATTTCTTCATGTCTACCGTGCAATCCACGTCTTGCCTCCATTTCTTGCGCTTTCTTTTCTTCCAATTATGTTCTACTACTCGAACGTATCTCACGCCAACAACTTCAACTCCAATGACTTCTTCCTTATCCATGTGGTTCGCGTTGTAAGCATGGCCTATTGACTGTCCACCCCCCTTTTCAAAATCCACCAAGTAAGAATTGGGGTGCTCACCTAAGCCCACAAATTCTTCTTTCTTCATATTCAAGCCTACACTTTGTAAAAGAGATTCCATAGGGCTTATATGAGGCTCATCTTCATTATGGAGTCTCTCTGCTTGTCTGTGCGTATGCAGCCCAGGGCCGGTTCGTGCTAGCCCGCCCCGTCGCTCTGCTCGGCCCACTGATGTGGATTGCTGCTGTTGTTGTTTTCGCACCAAGGAGAGCCCAACACCTCTCTTCATGCGGCCCAACCTATGACCAAGGATGATGGGTCTCATCTCCTCTCCTAGGCCCACTCCATTTTGCCTCTTCAGACCTGTGGTCCGGAGGTTTCGGCCCAACGAACATAGTTGCTGCTGTGGTGTTACGCGGTTGGAGGCCACCCTAGGGTTTCACCGTAAGGAAGCAATGGCGCCGCCTGCTCTCGCCGTCTCTGCCTTCCGTGCATCCGCGCATAGCGCGGCCTCCTCCCAGCCTCGGCCAGCCCCTTCGAGAGAGTTGTTCCCCGCGCCGCCGTCTGCTGCTTTGGACGCCGCAGCGCGCCGCGCGGCCTCCGCCCTGCCTCGGCAAGCCTCGTCGAGCGGCGCCAGCTCCGCCCCTGCTGCGCCCTCGTCTTCCTTTCCCGCCGCGGCGCCGCGCGCCGCTCTCTCCTTCCAATAGCCCACAATCTGCCACATCTTTTCTTGCTTCTGAGCCCACGTCTGCTCCGATTTTTCCATTGCTGTCCTTGGTAACTCTCCTGGCCGGAAGCTGCCCCTGAGGGAGTTAACAAAAACTCGCCGGTCGGAACCGGGCTCTGATACCAGATGTTAGAAACAAAGTTTTAAACGGGTTTCTAGATCAGATCTAGAGATTGAGAATTTAGGGTTTATAGAACAGAATTGGGGATTTAGGGATTTGAGAAGAGAATTTGGGGAAGAACAGAGATAGAATGGCCGAAGCCTTTAGAGAGAAAGATAGACGAGATTGTGAGAAGATTAGGGATTTGGGGAGATGACTTTTCTTATTAATTTCTGCTTAATCTGATGAATGACCCAAAGTACATATATATAGGGAAATACTAGAAAACTCTAAGAATAAACCTAATTCTACTAGAAGACTACTAACCATATTTAATAAAACCTAATAATAATGATAATGATATAGAAACCCGTTTTCCTTAGAAAACGTGTTTCTAACAGTTATATCCAAGATCACACTCCTATTGAAAAAAATACTTGAGAATGATGCTCCTTTCATCTTCATGAATGAGTGTACGGTGGTGTTTGAGTTGTTGAAAGAAAAGCTCAATATGGTGAGTTGATGTGACCACCTCTTGTAAAATGTTGATGTTGGTGATATGGAAAACTGGGATGAAGTTGGTTTGGTTCAGCCTACCAAGCAAGGCATGACGTTCTTTAGGTGGTTGGCTAAGTTTTTGGCTAAAACCTTATAGCCAACGTTGCATTGGTCGATGGGCCTAAATTGACTGAGAGTTGTGGGATTGTCCAGGTTAGGGACAAAGGAAATCAACATTGAGTTGCAACGATGAATCCTTTCTGGTTCTATGTAGCACGCCATTAGATAGTTGTTGAAATCCCTTCTAACTGTTTCCAACATCTCTAGTAGAAGAGTGCATGGAAACCATCCTTCCCATGTGTCTTTAGGCTACTCATTTGGTTGATAATTGGCTTAATATCCTCCATAGAAGGTTTAGTTATCAACTTCCCATTAATATCCTCTTCATTCAAGCAAGGGAAGTCAGCTCGGATAGAGTACTCATGCTTCACTACGGGCGTCGAAAGCGGTAAATGCCTAACCTATGCCAAAACTTTGAACGAACGTAACTTTGCGCTCGGTAATCCGATCGTAACGAATTTGTTTTGATTCCACATAGTTTTTCGAGATCTTTCAAGTCGCAAACATTCGAAGGCAATAGTGGTCCAGCCTTCATCCCGAAAAAATGTTATAATTTTTTTTCGTTTTACTTAAATTTTTAAGTACTCCAACTTTTATCATGGACATATTTTCTAAATGTATGTGGATTTGTGAAAAGTAAAGCTAAAGTTATTCCCAAAACCCCTTATATCCAAAAATATTCATATTTAAAAAATTCCTTTCTAGTAAAAGTTTTAGTCTTTGAAAATTTATGTGAAATCAAAAAAGTTTGTGACGTTTGGGTTGCAGTGGACAAAGATACGGCCGTCCAAAGTTTGGCGAAATCTAAAAATTGTTCTTTTGGGAATTGGGATAGCAAACGACTTTTTTTTTCAGGACGAAGGTTGTACCAAAACACCTCTTATTGTTTGCAACTTGTAACATCTTGAAAAATTATGCGGAAAAAAAAATTCGCTACAATCGGATAACCGAGCGCAAAGTTACGTTCATTTGAAGTTTGTCATAGGTAGGCGTTTACTGCTTCCGACGGCTGTGGTGAAGCATTCACCGCTTTTATCGGCCAAAGTTATATTATTCACTGTGTTTGACGGCTTTGTTGAAGACCAAACATGTGTAGATTAAGAATAAAACGTGTATATTTTGAGAATGTTTTCTTGTGGAAAAATTCCAAAGGACTCAAGCCCAACAAGGCGGGGGGCAGGGCTGACCGCGAAGCTCCAAGGATTTATACTGGGGTTATTTCTTCTTCCAGTTCCTATTAAGACGCCGTCCGGTCGGCAGCCAGAATCGCCTTCCAGTTATGCAACAGCTGAAATCAGCGCTGGTTCCAATCCTCTCCACCTTTCCCACCAAGCCCAGGACTGTGCAAGCGTTCCCATCTACGGCGACATTCGTTACAAGCTCATCCACACAATCCCCACCACCTGTTTGCGAAAATGCCTCACTCAACCCACCCGCCACCACCACCACCACCAGTGCCCTCCCTCGTCACCTCTGTCCTCCAGCTTCAGCATACATCCACCTCCCATTCTGCCGCAAACGCTGCCACTACTGCGACTTCCCCATCATCGCTCTCGGCTCCGCCAACCCTACGGATGCCGACCCGCGGATCTCCAACTACGTCGAACTGCTCCGGCAGGAAATAGAGTCGACAAGAACCGGTTTCAACCCCCACCCGCCTCTCGAGACCGTGTTTTTCGGTGGGGGCACGCCTTCTTTGGTTTCGCCCAATCTTGTTTCCTCGATTATGGACACTCTGAGGGCGAAATTTGGAATCACCGACGGGGCAGAGATATCCATGGAGATGGATCCTGGTACTTTCGATAGCGGAAAATTGAAGGAGATGATGGGGCTGGGTGTGAACAGGGTGTCATTGGGAGTGCAGGCGTTTCAGGACGAGTTGCTGAGGTCTTGTGGGAGAGCCCATGGAGTTGAAGAGGTTTATGAGGCGATTGAGATTGTTGGGTCTTGCGGGGTTCAGAACTGGAGTTTGGATCTTATCTCTTCCCTCCCTCACCAAACCCATGAAATGTGGGAGGAAAGCTTGAAGCTTGCTGTAGACGCACGGCCCCATCATGTGTCCGTGTACGATTTGCAGGTCGAGCAAGACACGAAATTTGGCGTTCTGTAAGTCTTTTTCTTTATATGCTGGAATTCTCGTGGAGGGATTCGATTAGACTAGGTTAGTTTTCCTTCTTAGGGATTTAAATTTGTCTATTCTGGTGTATTTTTTCTTAAAAACAGGTACACACCAGGGGAGTTCCCTCTGCCATCGGAAACCCTGTCGGCTGACTTGTACAGAATGGCTTCGAAGATCCTTGCCGATGCTGGTTATATCCATTACGAAATCAGCAGCTATGCCAAAAAGGGCTACGAGTGTAAGCACAACTCTACATACTGGAAGAACGCGCCATTTTATGGTTTTGGCCTTGGCTCGGCTAGCTTTGTCAATGGATCAAGGTTTTCACGACCGAAGAAGATGAAAGATTATGCAAATTTCGTGCAGAATCTTGACTCTGCCGAGGCAGCTTGGAGTAGGAGCGACGACCGTTCTCTTGATGCTGACAAGGACTTGGCTTTGGATGTTGTGATGCTGTCACTTAGAACAGCAAGAGGGTTGGATGTAAGATCTTTCGCAGATGCATTTGGTGGCTCAATGGTGTCCTCTCTCTGCAAGGTGTATAAACCTCACATTGAGAGCGGGCATGTGGTTTGTTTGGATAAGGAAAGAAAGTCCATGAGTGCTGACGAATTCAGCAAGTTGATGGTTGCTCGTGGAGATGAGATTTCAGGGAATTTGGCTTTTCTCCGGCTAAGTGATCCAGATGGTTTCCTTCTGTCTAATGAGCTGATATCTCTCGCATTTAGTGCCATAGCACCTTAGAAATTATCAGGGGGGGCAACGGAAGCATGACATTGGGTGGCTAGCTAGCTACTGGCGGCTTAGCTTATGTGATCGTTAGTCGTTACAGTTACCAAAAAGATATCATTGGGAATACAGGCAATGCTAGTCTTTCTTGAAATATAAAGTTGCAGAGTAAAGGACTAATGCAACCAAATTTCCAATAGTTGACCTATGGCGTTTGGATACTTGGAAGGGAGACACAGTTTGACGCTTTTTGCATTGAATGCAATGCATAACAGAAGTGACAGTTGACTGGAAATTGGAAGCTCCATCACCATGGCAACCTGTCCACCATGCGGAATAAATGGCCCGACCAAGTGGAAACTCTGTGCTGATTAGGTTTCTTGCTAGTTGTAACAACCAATTTACATTACACATACTAGATTTGGGCCCGCCCGTTGGGCGGATGAATTTCGCTAATAGCATAGACTACATAGTACTTGTTCGAAGAAAGATATGTCTTATTTCATACCATAAAAAAATTCAAATCATTAAGTTAATGAATATATCATACTGAAATACTTTTCCACATGCTAACTCGATTTATTGACTAAAGTCATTATTGAAAATAAAAACAAAACCATGCAATGAAATCGACTCCTACAAATTTAATCAGACTACACTATTTGTTCATGAATGTAAAAAATCAAGGCAATTTTTTTTAATTCCTTGTGATCTCTCTAAAGCACCGTCATCTCCACCAATTATAACATTTTTCTTCCTTAACGAAACATTTATCTTCACAATCGGTTGTCAAGAATTATTGCAAATTTTATTCTCGATTTCTTGTGATCGCTCTGCCTCCGCCCTCTATAGTACAGTCATCTCCACCAATTATAATGCATTTGTCTTCCTTAACAAAATCTTTATATTCAAAATAGGTTGTTCCTACTTTTTTCCATTAAAAACCAATCTTTAGTAGAAATATGGTTAAAAATCTAAAGTTTACACGCAGTAGAATTTACTTCTCATGAACATTTTATGAGTTCTTTTCTTTCCTCTAATGCAAACAACCCAGCGACCAATACACAAATTGATAATTTGTAGATTGAAAACTTAATAAATAATCTTAGGCATTGATTATTCTCTAATAAATACGTTTTTATATATCTGCAAACGTTATTTCCCAATTTGTAAAAATGACACACTAAAGTTTAGTGGTCGATAATGGAAATAATTAAACCTACCATGAATGTCATTTTCTATCTGTGGTGGTTTTAATTTTAATTTGTAAATTATGAATTAGGAGGGGGAGTATATGATCATTTCAAGTTGAATTTAGAAATATTGGAAACTCAGTCAAAGTCTAGTAAGCAAGATGAGACCCACTTACATAACAATATAAGGAAAAATTGATAGTGGGGAATACGATTAGAAATTGTCACATAGATCATGTACTATTATAGAAGAATTGATAGTTCTGATATTATATGTGATGTTATATGATGCTAGACTAACATTTTTTATTTCAAATATATAAAAATGGATAACATTTTGTTAGTATAATTAATTTGATTTTTAGTTTTAAAATTTACATTATAATAAATGAAATATGATTAATCAAAAACTAATAAGGGAGTGATTATGCACCTTGATCACCTAATATATTAATAAATTAATAATTTACAATGCTTCATATTGTCAAGGATTTCGTTACAATATATATATATATATATATATATATATATATATATATATATATATATATATATATATATTACAAATTGGACTTATATCTTTCTAGTCAAATTCATTTTTTTTACCACATAAATTGAACGTGTACATTTAATGTTATGTTAAAAATTTAGTTGTACTTGTATATTTTCATACAAATTCATTTATGATACAAATTGAACATGTATCTTTAATATTATGGTACAGTTTGCACTTATATATTTTCATATAAATTAATTTTTCATATAAATTTATTTATGATACAGACTGAACGTATACTATTATATAAATTACTTTATAATACAAATTAATTTTATATTTTAACGTTATGGTACAAATTCAAATTGTATCCACAAAGAACAAACATCATATAACATAATATATTAAGGAACTTGGATATGCACAACTCCTCCTATACAATTCCGCCTCCTTCCAATAAATTGTTTCCGCCTCTCCTTGCCGGAAATCATTAGAAGGAACTTTGTACTGGCCCATATAAATTAAAACTAATGGCCTCATTCTTGCGCAATAGCTAGGAAAAACACATGCTGCTCTCATTTTTTATATATTTATATATGCCAATAGAAAATTATAAGAATTTGACAATAAAACCCCTCCGTCCTCTGCGCAGGATGCAGGAAAAGAGGAGCTAATGAGGTTCCGAAGAAGAACCTCTATTATGTAATGGTTAGATTAGACACATTGGAACTTGGAAGGAAACTCGACGTATGCTGATAATGTTTTTGCAAGTATGGCCTGCTTAAACTTTTATTGTCTGTTTTATGTTAGTTGTATAAGTTTGCATTATGACGTGGTTGCATCTTTACAAGTTTGCATCTAATGCAATTATGGATTGCGCCACATACTTTTTTATTATTTTTGTTATTTAAGTATTTTCCTAAATTGTATTTTAATTTCCCACTTTAAATTTGAAACAATGGATCAACTTTTGTTACTGAAACTCAAACTTAAAACACAATTAAACTCTCTCTTAAACTCGCTGCTCACATTCGGCTACTGTCCAAAAATTCTCAATTAAATCTTTCTTGAGTTGTTCATCTCTATCAAATCGATGCATTTCGAGCCAAGAACTATAGTAGTGTAGACCTATTTTGGTTCAAATTTGTCTCAACATCTTCGTAATAAATTGGACCACAATATTCATCATATCACCATGTCGTTCATCCTCAACTATCATATTATGAAATAGGGTAAATACTATTTTTTAGCCAAACTGTCAGACGATTGGGGGGGGGGGGGGGGGCAGCCCTATTTTATTTATGCGGGTGTTATTTTTTGTTATTTAAGGAGGGGAACTTCTCCTTTTCCAGATTAAGCAAGAATAATAATCAAAATTCCTAATCTCCTATCTCTTCTTCTTCTCTCAATTTCTTCCTCGATTCTCAATCCCTAAACTTAATCCTCTTCGCAACCCTTCTCAATTATGTTCGGTTATCCGTGGTTTTTATAGTGGTATCAGAGCCCTCTTCAACAATGAGTTTATCACATCTATCTAACGGTGACCAAGACAAGCAAATGGAGGAATGCCACTATCAAGTCCTTAAGAAGCTCCAATGACCGATGGAAGAGTACTTGGCGATAGCGAAAGAGGCCAATGAGAGGCCCGCCGTGAGGATGGCGCTGAGCACAACCTCGGCTACGCTGGCGGGACGTGGTAACACGGTAGTGGGTGATCCGTTCTACGAGGAGATCTCCGCAGTGGTTCTTACCGAGATAATGGGACGGGCTACGATGTAGTTTCGTTGCTGAGTGGCAGGGCAGGCGGTGGCCCTGGTCTATAATGGAGCCTTGGTCAACTTCATTGGAGAGGAGTTCACGACCACCCTGGGTCTGACAGGGACGCAGGTGAAACCCTTCACGGTCAAGGCCGCGAACGGGGAAGCTCTTCTGTGTAAGCGACAGTTACAGGTCGTTCCCTTGCAGATTCAGGGGTTGGAGGTAATTATGGATCTCTTTATGTTGCCTTTGCAGGGATATGATGTGTTATTGGGAGTATTGTGGCTGAAGAGTCTCAGCCCGGTTACTAGCGATTGGGTGATAATGGTGATGAGGTTCAAATGGAGAGATAAGGAATGGGAGTTATAGGGGTTAACCACGGCTGCATGTCGTTGAGTTGGGAGGAGTTGTAGTTAGCAGGGAAAGTGGAGGTTGTCGTTTTGTGTTGGCCGATGGAGGAGGCTGCAGGTTTGGGGTGGTGCCGACCATATACGAATTGCTGGATGAGTTAGTGGGGTTGTTCGAGAAGTCGGATCAGCAACCACCCAAGCGACAAGTAGACCACCAGATAAGGCTAAAGGACGGCATGAATGCAATCAATGTGCGACCATATTTGCATGCTCATTCGCAGAAGGCCGAGATCGAGAAAAGGTTGAGGAGATATTGTTGTCCAGACTGATCAGGCTGAGTTCTGATCCCTTTTCTTCACCAATATTGTAGGTTAAGAAAAAGGATGAAACTTAGAGGTTATGTACAGACTACTGGGCTATGAATGAGGCAACAATCAAAAATTGATTTATAATCCCGATAGTGAAGGATATGTTAGATGAGTTGTGGGGTGCAAGATATTTTTCAAAGCTAGATCTACGAGCCGGTTACTACAAGATACGAATGTATGGGGAGGATGTCCACAAGACTGCCTTCTGTGCCTACAATCCACTATGAGTACCCGGTAATGCTGTTTGGACTCTACAACACGTCGTCGACGTTTTAAGCAACAATAAATGACATCTTTCGGGCATTTCTGCACAAGTTCATGCTATTTCTTTGTTGATATTTTGGTTTATAGCCCCGCGTGGGAGCAACATTTACAACAGTTGAGACAGTTGTTCTAGTTCCAGAGGAATAAGTTTTTCATCAAGGCATCGAAGTGTGCATTTGGAGTGCAAGAAGTGGATTATCTGTGGCACATTATCTCTTGAGAAAGGGTGAGAGTTGACCCGTGAAAGGTGAAGACCATGAGAAACTGGCCAACACCGAAGAAGGTAACTAAACTGAGAGGCTTCCTCAGGTTGACAGGCGTATTACAGGAAGTTCGTGCAGGGGTACAATACCATACAAAACCAAGGGCCCTTCTGCGACCTAAAGACCACCATGACCACGACATTGGCGCTTCCGAATTAATACGACCATTTGACGTTGAGACGGATGCGTTTAGTAGGGGGTCGGCGGTGTCATGCCCCAGGGCAGGCACTCGATTGCTTTCATGAGTCGCACATTGGCACCGTCTAACGAAATATGGTCTACCTACCAGAAGGAGATGCTCATCATTACTACTATAGTATAGACTTGGAGACCGATCTTATGGGGCAAAAACTTCACATCTACACCGACCACTAGAGCCTAAAGGACCTACTCAATCATAAGGTCTCCACTCCATATGAGCTTCCCTTCAAGCGGATCCAACTAACAAGGCAGAGGATGCCTTATCTAGAGTGGAGGTGGGACCTATACTGGTCAGAGTTACAGGCCCAGCGGTGCGATTTTAGGGCGAGGTCCAGAGGCAGTGGGGACTAGTCCGTATTTGAAGGAGTGTTAGGAACGAGCCATTAGTTAAGAGCCAGGGGAGTATGCCTTCCTTTATGGGTTTGTTCTCTTTTGGGGAAGTGTGTTACTGCCAGCTAGGACTACCTTGACGACCACGGTGATGCGGGAGTTCCATGATTTGCTAGTTGAAGGGCACTCTGTGTACGAGAGGACACTATGGAAGATCAAGGGCCAGTTCCACTGGCCACAGATGGCGCATGAGTTGCAGGCCTCCGTCGCTTCCTAGTACACGTGCCATCATTTTCAATCGTTGCCGGTACCTGAGAGGGTGTGGGAGGACATCAATATGGATTTCATTATGAGGTTACCACCATCAGGAGGGAAGAATGTGCTACTGGTCGTGGTCGATCTGCGATCGCCTCACCAAGTAAGCACATTTTCATGCCTCTACGTGGTCGATCAGGACGGTTGCATAGCAGTTTCTCAGGGGGTCATGCCAAACTACGGGTTTTCGAGATCGATTGTTAGTGATCGGGAAGCGCTCTTCTTGTGGCAGTTTGGAAGGAGGTGTTTGCACTGGCTAGGACAATTGAGGATGAGCTCCGCCTATCACCCACAAAGCCATAGTAGACAAAAATTGTCCACAAGCACATGGAGCAGTATGTTTGCGGTGCTTTGCTCACCAGCAGCTCAGCTAGTTGGCGATGTTCCCTTGGGGGGGAGCTATGGTAGAACGCCACCTACCACATGGGTATTTAGATGACCCCATTCGAGCCAATATATGGGTGTAACCCACTGATCCTAGTGCGCTAACAGACAAGAACTAGCTCTGTGGATGCCATAGATAGGCGGTCGGTGACCCAGTATGTGGCCCTATCGTAGTTGAAGGCTAATATGGCGGCCTCCAACAACAGGATGAAGCAGATGGCTGATTCCGGGCGGCGGGAAGAGGAGTTTGCAATGGGAGATTGGGTACTGCTGCACCAATACCCATATTGGCATACATCGGTACTTCGGAGGGCTTATTAGAGGCTGAGAGCTCGACACTTCGGGTCGTACTAGGTGGTGGAAAGAGTAGGAGTAGTGGCGTATAGGTTGCAGTTGTCGGACCGCGAGTATCCACTTGAAATTCCATATCTATCACACATGTAGCTAGGGAGCCAAACGCCTGATCAACCTCCTGAACTGTCGGTTAATGAGGATGGCGGCCTAGAGCTCAAGCCGAATGAGGTGTTGGAGACACGTTGCAGTCATCAGGGGAGCAGGTTGATCGAGGAGAGTTGTTCTGTTGGCAATACATGGGACTGGAGGATGCCACATGAAAGGATATAGAGACTATCATGCAGAACTATCCGGCGTTCGATCTTGAGGACATGCTCGATCTTGAGTACATTTATGCGGGTGCTAATTTTGTTATTTAAGGAGGGAAACTCCTCATTTTTAAGATTAAGCAAGAATAATAACCAAAATCCATAATCTCTTATTTCTGCTTCTTATCTCACTTTCTTCCTCAAATCTTCTCAATTCTCAATCGCTAAATCTAATTCTCTTCTCAACCCTTTGCTATTCTGTTTGATTATTTGTGGTTCTTACGCAAACCTTTTTCACATTCTAAAATATTAGCCAAACCTTTTAGAATACAAAATATTAGCCAAACCTTTCATAGCACTATAGAATTATAGCCATCTTCCGTTAAAATTAACGTTAATTTTAATAGAAGTACACCTAAGCTAATCGCCAATCCACATGTTTGAGACATCAGCACCAACTAAATTAAAATAATATTTTTCATTAACTTTGATTAATTATTTAAAAAAAAACCAGAAACAACGTTTCTTCCTCCCACTCTGCCTCTCACTTTGTCGTCGGAGATCCTCCCTGTCTGGAGACTTTCTTTTTTCTTCCCTCCTCCCCTACACCGACAATCCAAAAACACACATAAAACAAGATTTACTATGTTGTTATTGCTGCCTTCAATCGAGACCATTTCCCGAGCCTGGCGGGTTCTAATGAATAACGCCAACGTCAATGACTTTTTGAAACCTCTCCCCAACATTTTCTCCCACAGCCACCCCAAAGACAAATGGTCGAGCTGTGTCGAATGAGACTCACGACCGCAACATCACCAGCTCCGTCGTCGGTCCTCCAACTCCTCAGGTTCCTCACTTCACTACGAAAAGCGGCGGTTCTTGGCATGAAGCTAGTATTGGGGCTACTTCACTCTATAGGTGGCTTATGCGCCTAGATCTAATTTTTTTCCAGATCCGCCGCCTTGGGAGGGGCAGAGCATTAGCAAGCTGACCTTCTCCCCTAAGAATGGTGACAAGCTATGATTTGGGTGGACGGTTACAGTGGTTGGTTAATAATTCGGGCCTGATTGTACACTTTTTACCCCTGATTCTCTTTGAAGTTTGTTGCAATTGAACTCCAAAAAGGTTGGTTTTACACGAGGTTGCTTGTGTTTTAGTGTGTTTCAGATCCTAATAGGTAAAACCAAACTCGAAGTCGAAAGTTGGAAGAAAAGGAGCAAAGACCAGGCTTAGAGGTGGAGATAGCCAGTGTTCACGGACAGACGTTGGAGTTCACGGTCTCACAAGACCGTGAACTGGAGCCAGAACCCATGAACCGAGGAGCGAACAGAGGGGGTTTTCAGGTTACTGACGCCCAGGCAGTTCACGGTCGCTAAGACCATGAACAGTGGCCACTGACCGTGAACCTGAGCAAATGAAGCAGTGCGTTTTGGTCGCAACACTGAGTTCACGGATGCGTTTCAATGTTCACGGCCGTGAACTCAGGTCGTGAACTGGGCGCGATCTCCACTTAAAAGGCCAACTGAGAGGAAGAAGAAAAGAGAGAGAGACCTAGAGTGAGAAACTTCTCCTTCTTCAAATTTTAAAGTGAGAAAGTGACAAACCGAAGAAGATGAAAAAATATAGGGTTTTATCTCCAAACAAGGTTTTGGGAATTCCTTCCCCAAAGGAGGATTTCTTCAGCACAAGGAGCAAGGATTGCATCTTCTTGATGGTTCCCTTTCCATCACTTGTGTTTTCCCTTCTCCTAGCATATAGTAGTCCCTTTCTTTCACTTGGGTGTTTGTAAACCCTATCTACAATTATGTGAATGCTTGTACGAATTGAATGATTTGTGTGTGGTTTTGTTTTAATGTGAATGTGGAGGTATTATTCAGAAATGATTGTGTTGTGTGAAAGCCTATCAATCTAATTGTCATTCTAACCTTAGAGAGGAGACCTCCTTAGGTTAGGAGGCTCATTGGGTGTTCTTGGGCATTTAATGCCTCTTAGGCTAGTTTAGAGAGGAAACATCCTTAGGTTAACATGTGGACATTTTTTACCCTATTACCCCTTCGTGTTTAATTTTAATAATAAAAAAAAAGACTGACACGTGAGGGCCAGAGGAAGGGGTTACAGATGGGAGGGTTACTGAGGTGATCTGGTCTGGTCACTATTAACACTGCACTTTATGGAAACTAGAGACTACCCAAAAAATTGATATGTTGCAACTCATTGCCAAAATTGATTCCCTGTCTAATGTCTACATTGAAATACAAAGTAAAATATCAAATTACTTAGTCTTCAGCATTGCTTCTACAAGTTGCACGGAACACCGCGTCATAAGAAATCGCAATTATTTAATATTCAGCCTATATACATTGTATTAGAACTTAGAACACGTAGAGGAAAGGTGGATTAGTAACAATGAATATGCCGAAAATTCACTTACAAGTAGATCGTGCTTGCCAGTTTGCACTGCCTATATGGAGTTTGAAATCCAGCCTTGGCAACCAGGCCTCTATTTTGAAAAGACAAGCCCTACATTAGCACTACTGTTTTCTATGCAAATGATTGAGGGACAAAAAAGTATATGCTCTATGCAACTTCTTGTGAACTTGCTAGCAGAAAGATTTTTGCTATCATTGCTAAAAACAAAACAAAAAAAAGATACATGTTCATGGTCCAGAAGATGGCATACGAGCCGCGGCCAGACAAATGCCAATACCTTCCCGACTCATTAGCGCAGTAGAATAACTGCAAGTGAAGTCAGTATCATTCTCCAGTAATCATGGACCACAAAACAATAAGCAAACATGATTACCATGCTGACTAAGAAGGTTTCATCTTCCCAACTCGTGTTATCCGCCTCAGCTGCTGTGTTCCTCTCCTTATTTCACTTCAAATGCACAAATGGGTTAGGTAAAATGTTGCAGAAGCTTAAACAACGGTTCAATCTAAGAAAAAAGTAAGTACCTTTGATGCAGATAAACAATAAGGTAGAACAGAGGGAGTAGCATTAAAGACAATATCGAGATAGCCAGGTAGAACACGCTGACTGATTTCTGCAAATTTCAACGAAGAAATAAAAAAAAATTAGGTGCATACACCACAAGCCAAAAATACGTTTATAGTGCCCTTAGGAGTTAAGACTTACCTTCCCACCTTTAGGGAAAATTTTCTTTTTCCCTGAGCAAGTCACAGCATCACAAAATTGGCGCAGAAACAGTTCTACAAATGAAAACAGGATCATATGTAATATGTAAGGCACCAACTAGCCATAGAAATAGGTTAACATAATAATACAGGGAAAGCGGAGAATAATCGCAGTAATAGGCAATACCATGCAAGCGAGCTGCAGATGGGCTCAGATTAAGAGGGAAACATCTGTCTGCAAGACTCTGTATTGTCAAAGTAAATGTTGGTGAACAGATCATCATGAGAGGTGATGCAAACAAGCATACTTGTGACATGTACCTCACATAGATGGCGATTCTTTGCCGTGGCAGCAAGGTTGCACCTGGTCTTTTTTACCGACCTGGAGTCCATCACATGATCACAGTGCAGTGCACCGCACAAGTCAGCTAAGCACTTACCATCAGTCTGCACATTAGAGGTGTTAACACACTTCAGTCCTACGGTCCTAAAAACCGGTACAACCTATATGGGATATAAGGATAAAACCCACAACTGAAAAAAGAAAATGTACGGGGCTTTGAAACGGATTATGAGACAAAGGACCCCCAAATTTCACATACAACATTTAGACGATCGAAGTGCCTGTTGTCAAAATGCTGATCTAGATATTTTTCAGCGCGGAAACTTTTCTTACAGTATCCACACTGCCACTGATTGAAGTCATAATTAATCTTGTGCTGCTCTTGATCCCTGAAGAGATCATTACTGGGATGAAGTCTACACTTGCTGGGAATCTGGTACCTTTCTTGCTCAACAAACGGCATCAAATACTAAGCAATGGAAAACATCAGAACCAGACAATCATAGTCAAAAGTGCCGATATAATGCATGAATGGAACAAACAGAAAGCAAACTTATGCCAAATCCTTAACACCCCACCCACCTCGTCTATGACTTTCCAGGCAGCCCTGCTTCGTTCTCTAGAGCAATGCACTTGGAGTTCGTGGCCAGATTCCGCCTCAATGCTTCTACAACGAGGGACCAGATACTCAATTACAAAGCTAAGCAAGTTGACGAGCTGAAGAAACAAAACTGGGGAATTTCCATCCAGCAAAACCCTAGAAAGCTGCTTACCTTTCGCCTCCGATCTCCCCAACTTCCTGCAAGAAAAAGAGAACATGGGCAAAAAGAAAACGAACTGAAGGAGGTCTGAAGCTAAATCATCACACCAATAAGAGAAGAGCGCAGTTTCTTTCAAACAATTGGATATCGGAATCGAGAGGGGAATCAAAAAGGCTGCTGCTTATCTGTAGCCGTAAGGAATCGAATACCTGGGAGAAGGCTTGCGGGAAGGATGCCAAAGCAAAAATAAGAATCGCAGCCAACATCGTTGAGAATCTCTCCACCTAAAAGCTCCACCGACCGAGCTACTACTTTTGCTGGCTGTATGCCCGCTCCGGCGAAAGACTCTGCCGCAGCCTGACCAATATCTATTGTTCCGGCTAAGCTAGGAGGTGTTTGAGGTTTGAGAGAGTTGCTGTGACAAGTGAAATATACATCGCTGAAATCATCAGGAAGAGTGCGTAGGAAGAGAGGAGAATAGCTGTATTGTATAGGTGGTGACTGTTGAGAAAAGGTTCGAAAGGTGCATAACTCGTTGGCTAAAATACCTCGGGTACCACTTATCTTTCAGAATTGAGGTAGTCATACCACTTATATTAGAATAGGACGTTGGGTACCACTATTGTCGAAGAATTATGCGTCCGTCCGTTTTTCTGTCCCACTGACTAACGGCAATAATAAAAAAATATATATTTTTGCCACATTAGCACTGACTGTGTGCGCCCATATGTGCTCAGTCGCTTTTGGAGGGAAACTTGGCGCCAAAAATTACCATTCCTTCCCTCTTAACTCCATAAAAGAAGCTCTTCTTTTGTCTGGCCGTTCTCCACCCCTGTAAACTCTAAACAGAGTCTTCTTCTCCTTCTCTTTGAATATTTCACTCTTTTCATTTGCTTCATCTTTTTCATTTCATTTTGCTTCTCTCATACTCATTGGATTACTATTAAGGCGCATGGCAACCCCTATTTGTCGATGTGGTGAGGCGGAAGTCCTTCGTACCTCTTGGACCGATGGCAATCCGGGTCGTCGATTTTACGGCTGCAACAATTATGGGGTAAGTGAAGTTTAATGAAATGATTTTCGGTTAATAATCAAACGCACAAAGCTTATATCTTTCATATCTAATTTTTTGTTTGTTTGGTTGTTTTCGATTTATATATAGACTTCGGGAGCATGTAACTTTTTTCGTTGGGTGGATCCGATATTAGATGAACCCATGAAGCAAGCTATTCGTGGTTTACACAAGCGGATCGTGGCATTAGAGAGGAGGAACGATCAGCCCTCTATTTTCGTTGGAAGGATTAAGCTCATATCAATAATGTTGGGACTTTTTGTTATTGTTTAAATAATCATGAACGTGTACTATTTTGGAGCTCATGGTAATGTATTGTCGTAGGTTTGAATGACTACTATCAAAGTGGTGTAATGTAGTATTGTAGCATGTATTATCAAGTACTTTATGTTGTATGCTTGTGTTTACAGTAGGAAAAACAGCTACCATTTCATTGCCTCAACAAGTTCACAAACTGTTTCTGGAAAAGATCGATCAAAAGCTACCTGATATGCTAGCTTATACATGTTTACACATACGATTTCTGCAAATGATCAATCAAAAGCTCCTGAAATGCTAGCCATTACATGTTTGCTGAAACGGTTTCTGCAAAAGATCGATCAAAAGCTAGCTATTACATGTTTACTGAAACTGTTTCTGCAAAATATCGATCAAAAGCTCCTGAAATGCTAGCTATTACATGTTTACTGAAACTGTTTCTGCAAAAGATCGATCAAAAGCTAGCTATTACATGTTTACTGAAACTGTTTCAGCAAAAGATTGATCAAAAGTTTCCTTAAATGCTAGCTTAAACTCAACTTGTTGGTACTTCTTCAAACATCTTCTCCTCGGCAAGTTGCACCTGCATGAACCTGTAATAGGAATTTGGTTTTGTCAATAATAAAAATACATTTAGCTTAAGCACTTCGTTTGTAGCAGCAGGCAAAAGAAGGAAGGAGGTAAACTAGTGGTTTTGGAAATTAGCCAATCTTCTCCTTCCTCCATGAACCTGTAATAGAAAATTCAGCAAGGTTTATATAAAACTTACCGGATTACTCGGTTGATGGTTACTAGTTCCAGCTTCAGATGTTTGATGTGGGTAAAGTACACGAACTGCCAACCCAGCAAGGTTTGCATATCGCGTGTCAGACCTACGAGTAGTATCTCCAGAATACCAAAGATCAGCCGCATTCGCTTCATTTCCAGCCTGAAAATGTTCATTTGTGGTCTCTAGTTGTTCATTTCCAGCAGTTGATTGCTGACTTCCTTGCTCATTCTGATGTGCCCTCTTGTTATGACCTTCTAAACCGCATGGACTACAATGAATAGTCCCCTTGCTCTTCCTCACTCTTGTATTGTTAGGCTTATACTTTCTTGGCTGTTTTTCTTGACCCTCTAATAACTCCTCTGTGCCCTTTCTCCTACTTAGTCTGCGCCTCCCCCTTCTTGACTTTGCATCAGTACTCACATATGGGGGTATCACAGGGTCTTGGTTAGATTCTCTCCATGATTCCGTTCCAACCATAGATCCCATCGTGTAGTTATAGGTCTTAATGTACGTGGAAACCTCATAGTACTTATCCACGTAGGATTCAACCTTCTAACCCTTAAAAAATATGCAGGAAACTGCATGACAGCATGGTATTCCTGTCAAATCCCACTTCCTACATGTGCATGTGTGTTTGTTCAAGTCCACAACAACTTGTCATTCTAGACACCGAACTTGAAATGTGTTAGCACCATTATGCAGAGCTCTACAACCAAAGCTGGCCTGCTTAGAAGCATATATCTTCTTCATAATTTTTGGACAAAATTGGCAGTTGAAGTTTTTCTCGGCAAAATCTCTTTTCTTAAGAAACCTAATCATCAGTTGACACCTTATTGTCTCAAACATGCTAATGATTGGCTTCACCCTAGCACCTAATATGCACATATTCCAAGACTCACAATGATTATTCAGTAACACATCAGTCTTGCAATGAGGAAGAAAATATGCTCGACACCACTGAGACAACGACTTTTCCAACAACCACTTAGAAGCATCTTCATTACACTCTCTAAGATTTTCCATATTCTTCTTAAACTCAGCTTCATAAGTTGATCTAGCAACAGCCCACAAAAGGTCTTTGGTAGTTTTGTTACCTCCTTGAGATTGTTGTAAATTTGACCACAAATGTCTCACGCAAAATCGCTGCTCTGCATATGGCACTAAGTCAGCTAGAGCATTAATCAGCCCCTACAACCCACAACATAAAGAAAGAATAGTATATTAGTCCAGAACAAGAAGCAATAACCAGCAGCTCATTACAATAAAAGCAAAGTTAACAATAAATCAACTAACCTTTTATTTATCTGACATAAATGTCCACCCTTCACAAACTTCTGGAACTTTTATGTCACTGAGTACATGAGACAAAAACCATTTCCAATTTTCTTCATTCTCCACCCCCACCATGGCGTATGCAATAGGGAAAATTACATTGTTAGCATCAATGCCAATAGCTGAAAGTAATTGGCCTCCGTGAAGCGTCTTCAGGAAGCAACCATCAAGGAAGATGATCTTCCTACATCCGGCTGCAAATCCTTCTTTACAAGCAGCGAAGCAGCAGGACATTCTACGGAAAATATTCTCCTCCGTGTCCACATATATGCTCGAACCTGGATGGGTTCGATACACCTCAGCGCAATAGTCACGGAGCCGTGCATACTGATCTTCTGCCTTACCTCTTATCAGCTCCAATGCACACTCTCGTGCCCTTTTTGCTGTCCATCTAGACGTAGTATAGTGAAAGTCTTCTTCGCAAGTTTGCACTATGGAATCATTCCCCCATTTTGGATCAATTTCAAACCTCAACAAGTACTTTTTTGCAATATATTTGTAGGTAAACCACTTGTGGAGAGACAGCAAAACACATCCATCATGTATCCCATTGTACGATCTCACCACAACTGACTTCCTATCCGGAGAAGAAGAAACCCAAATATTCCATTTGCAATTCTTATCACAACACACTTGAACTCTCCCACGGTCGCTATGGACAAACCTCAAAGGGAACTTGTTCTTGATCGAGTAAGATCTTATAGCCTCCCTGAATATCTTCAAGTCACTGAAAACCTTACCTAAATTTTTTTTGGATTTTCCATATCTCTTGCCGGATTAAACTCTTGGAACCTCCTTCTTGTACTACCATCTTCATCATCGCTCGAGTGAATGTTGCCAAGTAGTCTGAATCCCCACAATCGGTGTCACAATCTTCACCAATCACATTATCAATGATGAGATTTTCGTTGTTCTCTCCACCTTCAAAGTCATTTATATCAAAGTCATCGTCACTGAAATCATTTTCTTCGTCCACAAAACCACTAACGCCATCAAACTCATTTCTTGCTTCATTTTCAATCCTTGGATTTCGATTTGAACCACCTCTTTGCCCACCATCAGCCTCTAATCTGGTGCTTTCTAACTCAGCTTTCTTGATAAGATATAGCTCAACAAACTTTTTATCAGTAACCACTTCTTGAGCCATAGCTAGCAATTCTTTGTCACTCTTCAACTCCACCAGACCTTCTTTCATATTATGCTCATCCACTTTATAATAGTATGAATACCCATTCAATATTCTAAATTCTTCTATGTCTTTAGTCTCAACTTGCAGGAGATATCCCACATCAGTAAGAAGTCCATCTAGCTCCTGGATTGATAAACAATCAGGATCAACATAATCCCAATACTTTACCTTCCCTCCCACATAACAAACATTTTCATTTGGGCTGTCCACATGCCCATCATAATGCATTTCTATGGTGAATTGGTCTTCACAGATTCCTATATCAAACACATATTAAACAATTAAGCATCCATATTCAATTAGGAAGTAGAATTAACCAAAACAAGCATTGGAATCCATGAGCTACTGATAAAAAACATTTTCAAAGGGAAAAGATAACGGGCCACAAAATTAAAACAATAAACCCAAACTAACTGCTAAACTCTTCCTTTAAAGAAACTAACTAGGATCACAAGTTGTTCTTTCTGTGTTTGAAAAGAACAAAAAGGTCACAACACATTTGGCATTTATAAAACTCATGTACTTTATATAAACAAACTCAGATTTCAATTTTTAACATTTTTTTAGAGGTGATTCTTCCAATGACAGACAAAGCAATGTTTCTTTAATGCAACTCATCCAACTTTTGGGACCACAAGTAACACCCTGTGCAAACAAAGACCACAAGTAAACTTGAAGGAATCTAACACCAGCAACGCAAAAGGACAATGAGCATTTGCTCACAAGCTGCCAAAAAATAAAGTGACATCTTCACCATGCACACAAGACCAGCCAAAGCCAACACAATGCACCGCTCACCATAAGTACACTACAGCAACCCTAACAGTAGAAAACAAAGATAAAAAGTGAGAATCATTACCATATCTCGGTAGTGAATCATATATAAACCCCTCTTTTCTCAGGACTGGTGCCATCCGAATTGAAAGTGCGGTCAGATCGACCCTTCAATTGGAACCCTAAACGACAAAGCATATTTATAGATCAGTACAATGTTGCACCAAATGGAGGAAAAGTAAAACAAGGACGAAAGAAAGAATCAGAGAGGGGAGTTTACATACTCCAGACCACCTTCGTTGTCGGCTTTGTGTCGGATTCTTCTTCTTTCAAGGTTCAGTTTTGGGGTTGAGAAAGAGAAAGAGAATGTTTATGCAAAAGCTGGGTTCGATGTTCCTTTTGTTTATTTTATTATTTATTTTTTTATTAGTTTGCAGCAGAGAGTCTCTCCAAAAGTGACTCAGCACATATGGGCGCACACAATCAGCGCTGATGTGGCAAAAATATTTTTTTTTATTATTGCCGTTAGTCAGTGGGATGGAAAAACGGACGGACGCACAATTCTTCGACAATAGTGGTACCCGACGCCCTATTCTAATATAAGTGGTATGACTACCCCAATTCTGAAAGATAAGTGGTACCCGATGTATTTTACACTAACTCTTTTGACTTCTGATTTTAAGTGGGGTAAAATTTAAGGATTTTTTTGCCTAAATACACTAGTTCTTAAGAAAATTTTCAAAAAATAACAGTTTTTATAAAAGTTCCTAATCTACACATATTTTTAGCAAATTGTTGGTGACAAAAGCGATCTATATATTCATTGCTTGAGAGGAAGACGATTAAAGGCTAATTACATTACAGAAAAGTGATGAAACACACATAAATGGTTCCCCTCGGAAACGATCAAAATATTAGATCCTACCTAGACAGCATTACAGTAGAATCGCTATTGTAACAAGCGACCAATGATAAATCGTTGTACTCAACCGCGATTTTATTTGAACACGAGATTAGGGTTGGTGTATCTATATTTTTCATGAGGCTATGATTGATGCGAAGGTTTTCATTTGATCAACTTTTGTCAAAGCGATCATACTAAATCGCCTTTGTATAACGCGATCAATATCATGCATGAGTTTAGGTTAGGTGCAGCTACCTAGGCTTGATCGCATTTGTCAAAAGCGATCTTGTCTTTGATCTGAATTATAAAAATACGACCCTTTCATCCTAACTCACTCTCATTTCCCCCTCTTCTCCACCTTTGTAGCAGAAGCTCTGATAGACCGATAATTATACATGTTTTTACCCCTATTCTGAGGCCGTTTGTGACGAGGAATCTCGTGTTTTAAGCCGATTTCACGCTAGGTTGTGTGTTTATGTCATATTTCAGGTCCCGGCGTTGGAATCGAGGCGGAGAAACGAGTTTTGGGTCGAAAGGAGCAAGGTTGGGACGAATAGGGCTGAAGGAGGAAAATACCCGGTCAGGTGGCCAAATACCCGACCGGGTATTAACCAATTTTGGGCGCCCGAGAAGCAGAGAGGGGCCCGGGCACAGCAGTTAAATGCCCGGTCGGGGATTTTGGTGGTAGACCGGGGATTTTCGCCTTTAGTGGAACGGTGCGTTTCACAATACCCGGTCGGACCATAAAATACCCGACCGGGTATTTTGACCGGGTATCGCGACCAGGCAGCTGATAAAAGAGGAAGAAGGCCAATTTTCAAAGGGTTCCGAGTTTTTGAGAGAGAAACCGATACCTAGAGAGAGAAAGCGTCGAACCAGAGTTCTCAAGCGCCATAGATCGATCTTCAACACCATTGGAGCCCGTCTTGAGCTTGGAGAAGTGCGATTAAACGTCCAGAAGCAGGAATCCAACTTCACAGTATGATTTCCGTGTCTGAATCTGCTTTTGCTTCTTTCTCTATGGAGTAGTTTCCCCATTCATCTGGGTATGGAGAACCCTAGATTTGTATGCTAGGTCTGATTGTATGAACCCAAGTACAGTGTTTGTGAATTGATTATATTCGATTGAGGTTTGAATGATTGAATGACTTGAATCCTGATCAAATTCCTGTTGTTTCTGCTTTGACCTGGAATGAGAATATCTGCCTAGGTTGATAGAGTACCCTTAATCGAAGGTGGCGAATTGGTGACTTTAGTCGAGGGGCCAATTCGCTATTCTGTACCGAAGTCAATTCGGTAGTGGAGGTTTGGTTCATTAGGGCATCAATCTGTTTACTCCGGTGGAGGTTAGTCGCCCGCTAGAGACTCATATTGAGAGGGTCTGGAGACCTTTAGTCGAGACTTCAGGCTAATTGAGAACCTTCTGCAGTATAACTTTCATGAAAACTGAACTTGGCAAATTGCAATCCGACTTAACTGCAGTCTAGGGGGAAACCATATCCGGGTGACCTCTCTTGACTTGACAACAAACCGTTTACTTGCTCTGTGTTTTGTTTGCTTGAGTTTCACTAAAAGTTCACTGCTAAATAACAAGAATTCACCGAGTAGTCATCACATCTAGGACCCGGGTTGACATTAAAACCCGACCCGCTATACTACGCTTTAGGAATTGGTTATACTTGGCCATTTTCTAGGGTGACAGTAGGAGTGAGTCAAGTTTTTGGCGCCGTTGCCGGGGACGGCTAGGTTGTTGAAGAAAAGTGATTTCTGTTACTTTAGCATTTTCATTTTTTGCATTGAGTTTTTGCTTTGTCCCACTTGTGCCTTCACGGATTTGCTTGCTTGAGTGTGTGCAGGTAGTGCATGACCCGTAGCCAGTCAGGAGGTTTACTGCCGTTGGATCCAGAGCTTGAACGCACTTGCCGCCAACTTAGGAGACAGCAGCGAGCTAGACTGGTTACGGGAGAGCGCATAGACGGCCACTTGACCAGCGATTCTGAGGAAGAGTACGAGATGGAGGGCGAAGACATCCCACAACCGGGGAATGCTCGACAGGCTCCCCCGGTGAATCAGCATCCACCACCACCGCCGGGTCCCACCTTGGAGTACTACTACACTCCACGGATTGCTGACATCCGCCCGGTCATCCTCTATCCACCCATCCCAGCAAATAACTTCGAGATCAAGCCAGGCTGGATTCAGCTCATCACATCCTCTATCCAGTTCCATGGCTTGAAGGATGAGGAAGCCCGGGCACATCTTTCCCGTTTTCTGCAGCTGACAAACGGTTTCAAGCTGAATGGTGTTCCGGATGATGCAATCCGCCTTCACCTCTTCCCCCATTCTCTGGCGGGGAATGCTAAGAGGTGGTTGGAGACCCAGCCCCCACTGTCTATCACTTCTTGGGACGATCTGGCGGATAACTTCGTGCACAGATATTATCCGGCATCGAAGACTACTGAGATTCAGCGGGAGATCACTCACTTCCGCCAAGAGCCAGATGAGTCCCTTCGTGATGCATGGGAGCGGTACATGGGATACTTCTGGCAGTGTCCCCATCATGGCTTCAGCGATGCTTTCACAGTGGGGAACTTCTACAGTGCCATCACCCCAGACAGCCAGAGGGTGATCGAGTCTCTATGCCCAGGAGGGGATATCCTTACTAAGACTCCACCCGAGCTGAACCAGATGATCAGTACTTTGGCTGCCCGCGATCATTCCTGGGGGCAGAGCAGCAGAGGCAGGCACTCTCGGGACCGTGGTGTGCATGCTATGGAGGCCAAATCCGGGTTAGAGCAGCAGGTGGCTGAGTTGGTGCAGACACTGAAGCAGCCTAACAGTCTCCTTCCGGGCCGAGGTGTAGCTGCGCCTCCAGTAGCTCAGTGCCAGTGGTGTGAGAGTCCAAACCATCTGGTGGAGGACTGCCAGGCTATGCGGGAGTCCTCTACTCCCCAAGAACAGTTGGCCTTCATCGCCAATGCTCGGCGCCTCGATCCATACAGTAACACATACAATGAGGGATGGCGCCAGCATCCCAACTTCGCCTGGAGCAACAACACCAACAAACCACCTGGTTTCCCAGCACCAGCAGGTGGTTTTCAGCAGAGGCAGCCCTACCAGGATAGGCAAGGGCCACCACCACAGCAGCAGCCCTACCATCCTAGGCAAGGGCAGCCATTCCAGCAGCCCCAGGGCCAGTTTGCTCAGCCTCCAGCAGCCGCAGCTCCCGATAATCAGATGGCTGATCTGAAGAACATTTTGGCGACATTCATGACCATCAGCCAGGCGAATTTCGCAAGGGTGGACCAGAGCATAGCTTCTTTGGAGGCAGGGCAGAGGAACCAGGGTGCTATTTTGCAAGATCTACAGCACCAAGTCGGTGTCCTAGCGCGCCAGCTTACTGCTCGGGCCCCGGGGACTCTACCTGCCACCACCATCCCCAATCCACGGGACCCGCACGAGACCGCACATGCCATTTTCACCCTGAGCGGCAGGCCTACATCAGCTGATCCTGCCTCGACTAGGCAGGAGGAACCACTACCTGCTTCAG